TCTATCTATCTCTGCTGCCTATCTGTCTGTCTAGCTACAATATATTTCATCTATCTATCTATCTATCTATCTATCTATCTATCTATCTATCTATCTATCTCATTATTCCTAGAGCCTGAGCTGCCTATCTGTCTGTCTAGCTACAATATATTTCTTCTATCTATCTATCTATCTATCTATCTATCTATCTATCTACTGTATGTCATTCACAAAAGAATTTACTGATCTCTCTTTCTCTTTTTCCCCTCTCTTCTCTATCGCTCTCCTGCAGGGTTGTGGAAGAGAGGCTATCTATCTGAGCCAACAAACAAACATTGACTGGTGCTTCAAACACATCAAGCTGTCATTCAGCGGGTCCAGCCGAATTGAATTCTCAACATCACAACTGCATCTGGAACTGACAGATTCGTAAAAGGTCTGTGTTTCTCAGAGCTGTTCAAATGGAGGTACAGTTTTATTTTACATGTTTTGATTTCTTCTGCTCTCCTCCCCTATATGACAGACTGTGTGTAGGCAACTTGGCTCTACCATTTCCAGGCTGTGCAGGACAGCGTTCTGGTGACAGATCTGCCCTGGGTTTCCATTCATTAGAGGGCCAGCGGGAATGTGGCAGGCTGCGAGGGTGTTGTATGAGGCGTAGCCTGCAGTAATGTTCCAGTTTTCTGTGTTCACCCTGCAAGCTGTCCCCTTGATGTGTGTGTGTGTGAGAGAGAGTGCATTACTAAAGATTATTGTTGTAAATTAGTATTCTATACAATAGTATTATGGTTTTTAGAGATAATGTCACACACGCATCGAGGGGACACACACCACGCACACTGATATTCTTGGAAGTACTATGGTGTATTTCGAAGTTCAATAGTATTATCATCCTGCACCATCACTATACCATGCTACCTATACAGTACTTTTTGTAAGCATGGCTAACACCAAGTACCTAGAAGTACTATTTTGGATACCATGGTGTATGACTATGGTAATCATTCTGTACCATGCTACATCATGGTAGAATCTGAAGTACATTAGTACCATGTAAATAACATGGTACATGAATATGGCAATCGTACAGTACTCATTTAAATATCAAAGTGCATCAAAACAACACTGATGTTCACTTTTATCACTTACAAAACATACCATAGTATTTCTATGTTTTTTGTTCATGGTACTGTGATAATAACAAAGTTTTTAGAATCTGGTAATACCATGGTACTCTTTGAAGAACCTAGGACTACCATATAAATATACTGGCATAGAAATAATATGGTAATCTTTAATTCACTACTATCACAGTTTTTTGGACTTGGTACTGTGCTAATACAATGGTATTTTAGACCATGTACCATGGTAGTATCATTGATACATATCATATCGTTTTTTTGGAAATTCCATGGTGCATTTCAAAATACAATAGTTTTACCATCCTTCACCATAACTGCACCATGGTACAATCCACAGCACTTTTGTAATATGTATACGTAGTTAACACAAAGTACCTAGGAGTACCATTTTAGATACCATGGTAAATGACTATGGTACTCATTCTGTACCATGCTACATATCAAAGTACCATGGTAATATATCCAGTTACTATCACTATACCATGGGTTATCAGTAGGACCAGATCTCCTCTATTAAGCGGTTTCCTTCAGCATAGGTGTCTTGTTAGTGTAGTGTTTTTACAGTAAGAGGTACAGGTGCTGATTGTTTAGGAGTCTCACGCAGTGCAGACTTTCCCGTGTGCTGTGCGTCTATCTTTAGCACACTAGAACCAAATAACTTGGCATGGGTTCAGCCCGTTGCCATGTACACTTTTGTACAAGCTCCAGGCTGCTGATTCATGAATGTAGAGTGAAAGCACGTGCCGCACAACACAGCAGATCACAAAATCTAGCTCACCATAGACATTAGGAATTACATCCGATCAATAAATCCATGTGGCCAGATGAACAGTTATCTTTTTGATCATCAAGGGTTATTTAGTTTAATTTCCCAAATGTTGCATAAATGAACACACATGAACTACAATGTGTGATTTGATTAATCAGGGCAATAATGAGAAACAGGATTTTTGCCGGGGGGCAGAACAATATAAAAATAATGAGTTCTGAGCTCATCAAGTTAATTACAACAAGAATGGTCTTGGGGATTCAAATAGACTACCTGGAGCAAATAGCCAACACTCCAAGAACAGCGTATCTAGGGACTGAAATATCATATATCACCTTAGCAACCCCTTAGAACATCCTAGCAACTGCACAGCAATGTGCTGAAACACTCAGAACACCTTAGCAACCGCATAGGAACACCCTACTATGCTGCTACACAGTGACAGTTTTTAAGCACTGCTGTGCAGTTACTAGAATGTTCTACGTGGTTGCTAGGGTGTTGCTAAAGTGATCACTTAGAACATTCTAGTCCTAGTGTGCTGAAACACTCAGAACACCTTAGCAACCGCATAGCAACACCCTACTATGCTGCTACACAGTGACAGTTTTTAAGCACACTGCTGTGCAGTTACTAGAATGTTCTACGTGGTTGCTAGGGTGTTGCTAAAGTGATCACTTAGAACATTCTAGTCCTAGCAATAATGTGCGTAAAAACAGTAATGACATCCCAGCAACCACTAGTTGCTAGGGTGTTGCTAGATAGAACATCCTAGTAACTGCATAACAATGTGCTTAAAAACAGTCACCACATAGCAACATAGTTGGGTGGTTGCCAGGATGTTGCTGTGTGGTTGCTAGTGTGTTCTGAGTGGTTGCTTTCGCACTTAGCAGCTGCATAGCAACACCCTAGCAATCACTTAGAACATACTAGTAACTGCATAGAACAATCAGAACACACTAGCAATTGCTTAGTAAGAAGGTTGGGTGGTTGCCAAGGTGTTGTTATTCAGTTGCTAGGATGTTTTGACTGTTTTTAGGCACATTGCTAGGATGTCAGGACTAGGATGTTCAAAGTGATTGCTTTAGCTACACCCTAGCAACCACTTAGAACATCCTAGTAACTGTATTGCAATGTGCTTAAAAACAGTCACCACATAGCAACATAGTTGGGTGGTTGCTAGGGTGTTGCTATGCAGTTGCTAAGGTGTTTTGACTGTTTTAGGCACATTGCTAGGATGTCAGGACTAGGATGTTCAACGTGATTGCTTTAGCAACACCCTAGCAACCACTTAGAACATCCTTGTAACTGTATTGCAATGTGCTTAAAAACAGTCACCACATAGCAACATAGTTGGGTGGTTGCTAGGGTGTTGCTATGCAGTTGCTAAGGTGTTTTGACTGTTTTAGGCACATTGCTAGGATGTCAGGACTAGGATGTTCAACGTGATTGCTTTAGCAACACCCTAGCAACCACTTAGAACATCCTTGTAACTGCATAGCAATGTGCTTAAAACAATCACCAGATAGCAACATAGTTTGGTGGTTGCCAGGATGTTGCTATACGGTTGCTAGTATGTTATGACTGTTTATGCACATTGATATGCAGTTACTAGGGTGTTCTAAGTGGTTGTTTTCGCACTTAGCAACTGCATAGCAACACCCTAGCAACCACATAGAACATACTAGTAACTGCACAGAACAATCAGAACACACTAGCAATCATGTAGCAACATAGTTGGGTGGTTGCCAGGGTGCTGCTATGCAGTTGCTAAGGTGATTTGACTGTTTTTAGGCACATTGCTAGGATGCCAGGGCTAGGATGTTCTAAGTTTTTGCTTTAGCAACACCCTAGCGACCACTTAGAACATCCTAGTAACTGCATGTCAATGTGCTTAAAAACAGTCACTGCATAGCAACATAGCTTGGTGGTTGTCAGGGTGTTGCTATGCGGTTGCTAGTGTGTTCTGATTGTTTATACACATTGCTATGCAGTTACTAGGATGTTCTGAGTGGTTGCAAGCAACACACTAGAACACACTAGCAACTGAACAGCAACATAATTGGGTGGTTGCCAGGGTGTTGCTATGCAGTTGCTAAGGTGACTGTTTTTAGCCGAGTGCTACAATGAATGATACGAATGAAATCATGATTTATGGTATCCTGCTTCCCAGATATGGCTCAATTCACTGGTTATAAAGTGTTCTGAGTGTTTCTTTGTAGTTGCTAAGTTGTTCTGGTGGTTGCTATGGTGATCTGTGATATTCTGGTCCCTAGATACAGCTCCTTAAATATAAGGTTATGTGAGGTTTTGCCTTGAACTGTCCACAAGATGAATATTGTTAATATATAAGTCATATCGCTAAGAAATATTCTAGCACACCACGTCTCGCACACGTATAGTGATAGGTATCATTCACATTTGTAACGCAACATTTCCAGGATGCACAAATATTTTATGTTTAAACTGTGCAAAATATGTTTTACAATGATTTTTCTTCACAAAAAATGTGCCTAGTTTGAACATCTGCCATGAATGGAAACTTGGTTATTTGCATATCACTACTGTGACATGAAAGTGAGAAGGCTATAGAGAGAAACAGACAAAATATTACCATCATAGCAGGGGGTTGTTCACTATAGCACACACACACACACTTGACAAAGCCCTAGATAAAATCCAAGAGTGTTTGCGAACCCATTGAGCTGTTTTTTTTTTTTAACTAATTTTGGAGAGGAGTAATTTAGCAAATTGTGTGTCAGCATGTTCGTCTCAGGGAAACAACAGCTGATCTATATGTGTGTGTGTGTGTGTGTGTAGGCACATTGTGTTGCAGTTGTACGTGGGCTAACACATGGTAGAAGTGAATGGTAACACAGGATCAACCCTCAGCCTACGGTAACTGCACTTGGACACACACACACTCGTTACACACACATGCAACCATGCTGGAATGAACGGACTGAATTGTGGTCAGCACTTCCCAACTAAAAGCATCAGCAGAAGACAACCGGTGAGTGTCGTTCCCTGTGTGTTTCTGTCTAAACATCGTCTGTTTAATGCCATTCAGCTTAATGTGACAATATTATCTGTCTAAATGTCATTTGCTGCTTGTCACTTAACAATCTGACAGTACTTGGAAGACTTATGCTGCTTGGTTAACCGGTTAGTTCAATCATGTTGTACTTGCTGGAATGAAAGTAACTGTTTTGTTGTGTGTCAGTGATTTGTAAGCTTTTAATTCCTTTAAGCCTGCTGCCTTTTTGCCCGCCGTCCTGACTAGATGACAGGAGATCCATAAAGCCTTTGTCAACTGATTTAATGGGGTCTGACTTTTAGACGGTCAGTTTGTTGTTGTGTGTCAGGAGGCTTATTGCGTCATTGTGATGGCATCACCCTCGCCGGGGACACCCCCTCTCTTTCAGCTGACCGCACCGAGTGACAGGAAGTCTTGTAAAGGCTCGTACCTGCGAACGGTACGCACACAGAAAACCACAAGAGGGGAGAGAGAGGCTGTGCTTCTGTCTTCCACCCACATATATGAATCAGACTGCATGTGATTATTCTAGCACACTGCTTCTATACACGTTTGATACTCATGTATCTCAGTTTATACATTCTTGAATTTGATTCTGATGGGTTTCTGAAAGTGTTTAAGTGATTATAATGTTTAGTCAGCTGGTCATTACATTTAAAAGAAAATACTGACAGGGTGATCAGGACCTAAACATGAAGCGGAGTGGGTTATTTTGTGATAATGACTGGTTGATTGTGCATTATCTGTCTCATTATGGGGCTAGTTACCAAATTATTATTATTATAAGTAAATATAAAATCCATATTATGTGAGTTGAAATTATTTTATTATGTAAAAATAAAGAGACCAGTGTAATATGAGAGAAAGTATGGCTATGTACACTCAAATTTAAAAAAAATATATATTTATGTTACAAATTTCCATCAATCTGATTTGAGTAATTTTTAAATGGTGTATATATGAATTCATACTTAAAATTATTTCAAAATATGGACTTTTAAAAATAAATAGAATTTCACTATTTACTAAAATTCATGAAAAAGTACTGAAATCAGTACTATTTTATATCAGAAATATCTAGTGAATATTTTTTAAGCTGAAAGGTAAAATTCATATTTTAAAATCTTCTCTAATCAATAGACGTTTTTTGAAATTTGTAATGTTATGAAATTATTATTATTTAACAAAACGTTAGTAAAAAGCAACTGCATGACTTTGACATTAAACAAATCTATTAAACACATCAAATTTAAACCATTTGTTACAGTTTTTCTCAATTGCTTTGGCACATTTTTCAAAACAATCTTAACATTCTCTAAACTGTGAGTGCAAATGTCACAACTGTTTGCTGGAACTTCAGAACTTTATTGCATGTCTGCAAAATGTAGTTACTCACCCAAAACATTTCATTCATGCTTCAAAACCTAGTTATCGTGTCAGTAATTTGGCCAAGGCCACCAAAATATAAAGTATTTTTGTCATCGTGTGAGCCACACTGGTCAAAATGTTTAGTTGTTTTTTCACCATGACAGTCAACCATGGAAATGAAGGTTTTATAAAAAATCTGATATTTGTTGAGAAAAGTCAATAGTACATAGAAAAAAAAAAATGCAGACAATTGTACTTACTGTTTGCACACATGTGCCAAAGCATTTGCAATTTGCTCAGATCAATAAGAAATTCCAATCTGATGTGAACAAGAAGCTAATTTTTCAGAGATCTGAACTTATTGTTTCGGGAAAAAAAAAGTTTCATTCGAGAATTGAGCCAAAGCAATTGAGAAAAACTGTAAAATATGACCTTTTCCAGGATTTGTGAGAGAAAATAAGTTACCTGGACCAGTCGATATTAATGCTTAACGGTCATTATACAAAATATTTGACAGCAGAAGATTGCAATTTTCCAATCAGAATCAAGTATTCCAGAGAGCTGTGTAATACTTTTTTATAGACTTTTTTTTTAGACTGTTGAATTATTGAAAACTAATGCATATCTGAGGGTTTATCTCAATAGTTCCTCAAATAGAACACCTTTAAGTGTCATTACTTGGGAATGCTTTGAAACAGGCAGTGGGCAGATTAATTCTGTTTTCCACACACTGTGGGCTTCAGACCCCAGGGATTTGACTGTTAAACCATTAGAAATTAGATTAGAGACTGGAGATTACTAGCTGTCATGACATGAGGCGGTGAGGGAGGTCGGGCAGTTAGGATGGGTTGTTTGATCAGTATTATCATGCACTGTGAAACCTTTGATTTCTGATCTGTCCATCTGTCTGTGGCTGAGAGGCTGTTTGCTGTGATTACAGCAGGATTAGGATATTTTTTAGTTATTGCGTTTCAGATTTTGAAGTTGCTGTGTCGGTACTATGGTTCACTGATGGTAATATGTGGTACTTTGATATATACCATGGTATTACTTTTTTACTATATTCATATACCTTGGCATTTAAATGGTACTGTGATGCCATGAAGTATATAATTTACTGTATATAGTATCCATCAGCCATTGTCATAGTTTTGTCATATTATATTTTATGGTAATTCCATAATTATAAAATACTATGGATTTACCCTGGTTTTTAGATATGGTAGTGGTACAATGAATTGCATGGATTTACAGTATATGTAATGATTACCATATTCATGTAAATACATTAATTCAATAAATAAATTTCATAGTGTATACAGAGATCCCATGGCCATGTAAAACCCAGTAATATTATGTAATTTTAAAAAGCAAAAGTTGTCAAAATTAATAATATGGTACATCAAGAAAATTTCTGTAGGGAACTTAAAATAAAAGAAAAGAAAAGTAATGAAAATTAATAATCATCATTCCAAATTATATCCACTATAGACATTTCTGATTTAAAAAAAAAAAAAGATATTAGTTCCATGACTTGGAAATAAAATTGAAAAGTAATGAAAATGAATAATATTAATAAAATATTAAAAATAATTATATAACAGAATTATTTATAGTGAATACAATTTTGTATGTTAAAAGGTCATAAATTAATATATTTATATTTAATTTAACAGATCATCTTCTGTAAATGTCTTTCTAACATTAACATGATTAAATGAATGTTTGAAAATCATAAGATTTTTTAAAAAGTATTTTTTAAATGGAAAGTCATAAAATATTTAATATCTGAAAGTCATTCAAATTCAAATTAATTCTTTTATTTTTCACATATGCTAAGCTAGAAATTATAGTACAATCTCTATAACACAACTGTTAAAAATCTTAATCCTATTATTATGAAAATCTGGGAAAATTATAGAAAATCTATATGTGGTAACTCCATAAGCATATAGATATATCACATTAACAGTACATATATAGCAGTATTGCCATCTCATACTATGACTATACCATGCAGTATACTTGAGGCTTGAGTCATGCAATCAGAGAGATGGAAAGGAAGAAAGAAAGTGATTGGCATGGTCTGGAAAGCAGGAGGAGGAGGAGAGGAGTGGATATTTTAACAGCTGATGGTTCTCAAACATGAGGAGAGGTTGAGGGCCAGCGTTTGCCCATAACTCAGCCAGCGTTCAGCCTGTGCTGACAGTCCAGCTGTGAGACGGACAGCACCCATCTCAGGCCTGGCAGTGAGAAGCAGCGTGGGCAGGACTAACCAGCATGACCTTCTCCTGTTTGTCGCCACACAGGGCATCTTAATTCCCTCTTGGAACCCTGGCAGGCTGCTGTAATCTGAGCTGACTGAGGCACAGAGGAATGATAATGCATCGGAATTCTGGATGCATGAATTAGAGTTCCAGTCTGTGGATCTGGAGTGCTTTGGAACATTAAACTGGGAGACATTTATATGCAGAAGCACATGTGGGTGTATGTGAGTGTGTGTATGTGCGCGCATACATGTGTTTATAATATCCGCCCACTTGCAGGCATAATTTATTCAGATTTATTGCATAAAATAGCTCTTCTCTGTGAGCATTTTTTAAACACTGCAGTTATAAAATTAAAGTAGCTTTCATTCACACATGTGGGTGTATGTGAGTGTGTGTATGTGCGCGCATACATGTGTTTATAATATCCGCCCACTCGCAGGCATAATTTATTCAGATTTATTGCATAAAATAGCTCTTCTCTGTGAGCATTTTTTAAACACTGCAGTTATAAAATTAAAGTAGCTTTCATTCAAAATTAAACAAAGCAGTTTGAAGTCATATAAACCACAAAGTATTTTGCTCTATTATTGTTCATGGCTGGTGTGGTATTTTTAGAGTAGGGACAGCAGCAGGACAGAGAAATAGGTCAGATTAAACTCAGGTAAATGTCTTCTGAGGCGAGGAGCCGTTCCCTGACCTGCCCTGTATAACCACAGTACAACTAACTGTGACTGTGAGCTCATTATTGTACTGTGAATGAAACTAAAGCTCTCATGCCTGTAGACTGCTTTTTTTTTACTATAATGGATAATTCTCTTGTGTCACTACTTGGTCTCATTGGAAATTTGTTGTAGCGCTATTACTATAGTGTGGCGGAACTATGGATAGAAGAGTGACAATATCAGATAGAAATACTAAATGATGAACATATTAATATACTGTTTTGTTTGTTTGTTTGTTTAATGGCGCAAAGTACACAACTAGTCAAAACGTTATGCATTTCTAAGGATCTTAAACAATGATCTAAATGCTTATAAAAATTCTTTAATTAATTATTACAAATTTTCACAACTTTTAGAAAAATATATATACACTATAGAATGAATGGATTATTTTATTTTATTTTAAATTGTTGACTGTTCTAAATGCTTATGAAATTCTGTAATTAATTATTACAAATTTTCACAACAACAACAAAAAATATTCACTATAGAATGACTGGATTATTTTATTTTATTTTATTTTATTTCTAATTCCCATACATTCATTTGTTGTTTTATAGCCTTAATTACTTAATTTTAAAAAACTGAAAATATTAGTAATTATTAATAATAAATATTTGAATATGTCTCTCCACAAATTTTCTGTTTCAATAAGAAATATGCGATCAAAGGGAAAAAACCTTTGGGGTGATATTAATAATAATAAATGAATGTGTAATTTCTATACATAATAAATTTGTTATTTTCAGCTTTGATTACTGGAAAATATTAGCCCAAAATAATGTTAAATAAGTAGTGTCTAAACTTTTAATTGGTTGTGTAATTCTTGTCCTTGTTCTTGTCCAGTAAAACACAATATTATCATGGTACCATAGCCAAAATACCATGTAAAGTATTTGTTATTGAAAGCAGATTTAATAATTTATTATTTTTAATTTATTTTGTTAATAAATAAATAAATCTATTTTTAGTGCATTAAATGACTGTCACTGGTCATCCTAGTTTTATTCAGAAATATTTGTTTGATTCTAAATATACTATTTAATCCTAATGCTTATTTTTTTTAAGTGTAAAAGGGTATGTGAGGACAGGCACATCTCTGAGTGCACATTCTCACAAAACCTGATGCACTAATGTGGGTAAATGCATCTCTCTCTGCCATATACCACTTAAGCTGCACCTCAAATTAGTAAGGCATCTTGTTAAGTGGTAAGACATTTAAAGAGATGATGGGTCGCTATCAGCACGAACACCAGTGTCATCAGGGGAAATGTCATTTTTGTTTGCGAGTTCCTGGTTCTCTTGAGAATCTGCAGGGCAAATAAGACACTGACGGTATGTGTTAAGGTCACTAGTGGCGTTAGATCACAAAACATGTGCTTGTTTGCTTTGTTGTAGATCTGTTTGTTAGATAGCATTAGGTGCACAGTCACTAACCAGAGCAGACGGGTGCAATCTGAGCAGGCATTATTACATTTAGGGCAGCCTGTACACATTTGCTGTCAGATGGACCCTCATCTAAGACATCACATGCCTTCAAAACAGTTTGTGTTTAAGAAATGGACATAACAAGCTTGACATTTTAACCAAAGGCCACACGTGACAGTGCTTAGCACGCATGTCGCAATGGCCTCTCCACTGTTTTCCACAACTCTTTATTTGTCAGACGGGGCACAAATCACACTTCAGCCAGAGAAAGAGGGGCAAAACCAGGAAATATTGATTGTAATATTGACAGTTTGATGTTTTTCAAAAGATGTGACCTCTTGAAATCTACATCTGTGACTTTTTGCCCATATGCATTGGCTTTGAAGCCTGTATGTTAGTGTACACCTAAAAGTTGACAGTAAACTTTATTTTATTTTTACTTAAGTTTTATATTAAGAAATGCAAAGTAAAATGGAAAATAGTGGAAATTATTAATAATAAATAACAAATGAATGTATGGAAAAATAAAATAAAATAAAATAATAACAAATTGCCACAAATTTCAATAGAAAATATGACAACATGGGGGAAAGAAACACTTTTTTTTTTTTTCTCGTAGATCACATTCATACGTCATATTCTATTCTTGGCCCCAGAGAGCTTTGTCATTCATGTGTGTTTCGTAACTAAATGTCGTAGTTTGAATGCCATGTAACCTTGCAGTCCACCTGTGACAGCAGAGTGTATATCGTATTTATTTCTGTAGGGGGGTGAGGTCTGTCTTTAGCAGGCTATTCTTACCCCAACAACATTTGCTCTGCAAGTCCAAACATCCGAGAAATGGCCTTGAATGAAGTTCAGGGTATATGACATCAATACTGCACTGGACAAAAGTACAAAGCAGATATTTACAGAGCACTGTAATGTTTTAACTCGCTGTATTCAGCTTAATCTTTTCATAAATCTGATCAACACTTGCTTTTCATGCACCAAAAATTATTTAAAAGCTGAAATTAATGTCAAAATACTTGAGTGAAATACTTCTTTTTTACCAACCTGTTCTTAGTCTTCTAGACAGACATTGACGGTAGGTTGTTAGCAAGAATAGGTTGTTTATCCCTCTCTCTTTCTTTCTGTGTCAGGATCATAATGGAGGAAGAAACCCTGCTGCGAGCGAGACTGCAGGCTATAACAGTGAGTATCAGGCTGGATTTGTATTCTTTTTGGTTTTGTGTAATAGGGAATTGAGGTTTTACATTGGCAAGTGAAATATTATCACTGTATATATTGTTATTTGGCTTTGTTGTCAAGTTGATACTCACAAAACCTGTCTGAAACATGTACAGTATATAACACATGAATTTTGCATTGTTATGTCTGGTAACCTTGATAAGGTGACAGTTTTTATTGTGTTATTTAACTAAAATCAGGAAAAAGTAACTCTCTTAACAATGTAGTCTTAACACTTCGATAGCCTTAATGATATGAACCACTCAACCATTACTGGCCACGCAAGAGATTAATCTATGTTTATCTGCTTAAACGTTTGTTGGTTTCTGTCAGTATATGAACTCTATTAAAGAACACTTGAAGAGTGTTTATGGAGAAATCGGTCCATGTGCTATTTCTGTCCACACTCAGCCTTTGAGCTGTTCATTTTATACATGAAGTCATGGTTTATTAGAGAGTTAAAAATAATGCTGCAAAGCCTTCCTCTCAAAAAGACTGTATTAATTCTCTCTAGCATGCATGCTTGTGTTAATAGCAAGACATTAAACGCCACTTATAGAAAAATAAACAACAAAAGAATAAGGGGGTCAAGGTGAAATAAAAAAAAGGTTTAGGATATTTTTTACTTTACATAAGATGACTCTGATTTCTCAACAGGACAAAAGAAGAATTCGAGAGGGGATAGAAAAGAAACGAAGAAACATTGAAGAAGAGAAATTAAAGCTACAATATCTAAAGGCATGTATTGATATGAATAATAATTCAACACTTGCTTTTCATGCACCAAAAATTATTTAAAAGCTGAAATTAATGTCAAAATACTTGAGTGAAATACTTCTTTTCCCTTTTAATGTGCAGAGACATAATTGGCAATAGGGAAACCTGTTTGGAAACCATCAGTAGTGTTTGCAAATGCATTAAATGAATGCATATTTCACCTAAAAATGAAATTGTTGTCATTAATTACTCACCCTCATGTCGTTCCAAACCCGTAAGACG